CCTCCATACTGTTTTCCATAGTGGTTACACCAGTCTGCATTCCCACCAGCAGTGTACTAGGGTTCCCCTTTCTCCACATCCTCACCAGCACAAGTCGTTTTTTGATTTGTTGATGGTAGCCACTGGTATGAAGTGATACTTCACTGTGGTTTTAATTTGCATCTCTCTGATAATTAGCGACGTTGAGCATTTTCTCATGTCTCTTGGCCATCTGTATGTCCTCTTTGGAGAAGTGTCTATTCAGGTCCTTTGCCCATTTCTTAATTAGGTGTTTGTCTTCCTCTTGCTGAGTAGTATGAGTTCTTTGTACACTTCGGAAATTAGCCCCTTATCAGATACATCCTTGGAAAATGTTTTCCCAGACCATGGGGTTCCTTTGTATTTTGAGGCTGTTTTCTTTTGCTGTGCAGAAGCTTTTTAGTGTGATGTAGTCCCATATGTTTATTTTTTCTTTTGTTTCTCTTGCCCTAGGAGATGTATCAGTGAAAATTCCACTACGTGGGATGTCTGTGACTTTACTGCCTATAAATCTTTCTTTTATTTACTTTTATTGAACTTACTGGGGTGACATTGGTTAATAAAACATATAGGTTTCAGGTGTCATTTAAATCTTTCAACATTTGCTGGGGCTCACACTCACCTGTGCACTGTGGGGAATTGGGAGCTCAGCAGTGAAAAAGGAGACCTGGATCTGTCCTGTGGGGACATGTCCCAAGATGCAGAGCATGAGGAATACCTGGACCCCTGTTCAATCTAACAGCTCCAGTCCACACCCCTTACATCAAACTCAGGAGGTCAGAGCTACTAGAGAGGGGAGAAAAAATACGGTAGTACTCCCCTGGGAAAGACCAACCCTCCTACCAAAGACAAAGCCACATGAACTTCAGGCCTATTACCAAGCCCAATTTCTATGAACACATTGAGAGCTGTTTAGTTTGTTGACAACCACTGCTGAGCTTCACAGCTACAGGGGATCTGCATGGAACACACCCTGGCAGCAAATAAGAAGTGGCATTTAATAACTGACTCAAGCAATGAAGATGTGTAGTCCTTTCAGTACTTCTGATCACAGTGAGAAACAAGTCTCACACTTTGATGCTAGTGTCTTAAATCCTTCCCTGAAATTGACTAGTCTCTCTCTCTTGAACAAAAACATCAAGATTTAGGTCCAGTATATGACTAGAATTTAGTATCATTTGTCTTTTGTTTTCATTGCATTTTTAAATATTTATTTCTGTATTCAAGTTTTATGTATAGTTAGTGATAGCAGCATTTAATAATTTCTGGCAGGATGTTGTTAGGATCAAAGATAGTACCATGAGTTTGAAAATTAAGTGACAGGGTTGGGAGTTACAATTTGAATCATGGCTCTGCCACAGTCTTGGAAAAATAAACTTTTTAAAAAATATGTTTTTGATTTTTTTTTTTTTGAGAAAGATAGGAAGTGAAAGGGATAGAGAGAGAGAAACAACTAACAGAGAAACATTGAAGACAGAGAAACATCATTGATCTGCTGCCTCCTGCACACCCCCTACTGGGGATGAAGGTTGCAACTCGAGCATGTGCCCTGATTGGGAATCCAACTGTGACCTCTTGGTTTCTGGGTCCACACTCAACCACTGAGTCACATCAGCTGGGCAAATAAACTTTTCAAACCTCACTTTTTTCCTTTGGAAAATGGAAATGCTGCCCCAAAAATAAGGATATAAAAATTACCGTGTGTCCAGCACACCCACAGTACAAATGAAAGGTCCAAGTACCAAAACTTAACAGCAAAGCGCAAGAACACAAAATCACAACAAAGCTGGTTGTTTCATCTCCTGGTTTTATTAACCCAGCAGGCCACCCAGGTGAGAAAGTTAGTCCCATTCCTTAAGTTTAGTTTTTCAAGTATGATTACCATAACTTAGCTAAGTACTAGCTAATGTATTCCTTTCCATAGGATTGTTTTAAAGGTTGAAGTATAACATAACCAAAATCTATGATCCCATACAGACTTCCAGATCAGAAATGTTTTATCCTTCCAACTCACTTTAACATCACTATTAATACACAAATGGTAAAAGCAGTCTGTTTTGCAAAAAGTTTCTCTGTAAAATCCAAATAGTCATACCAATGTCAATCTCTAGTTTGGTACTGCTTCAAAAATGTTACCATTTGGGGAAGCTGGGAAGGGTACAAAGGATGTTGTGTATTATTTTTCCAGTTTACTCTGAAACTATTATTTCAAAATAAGTTAAAATTAAAACAAAAATGTTACTCATGAAAATGAGAGTATAAACACTGCAGCTCAAAATTTAAAACAAAAATCTGAATGGCTTTAGATCTTAGGAGTCACCTGATAGATATGATGCCTCAGTCAGGGGGGCTGTGGGGCCCAATGAAAAAGGCTTATTTATGTATAATGTTCATTATTAATTCTGGCAGTGATAAACAGTATATCATTTTGTCACTTCTGCTCTCCCCAACTCAAGGCTTTGAATTAGCTTCAGTGTTAGGAACAATGTGAGGGAGAAAGGCTCCCTAATTTTGTGAAAACACAGCGAGAACACTCTACATATAATTAATTTCAGCCACCCTGCACTTGAAGGCTCACTCACACCAATTGCACAATCCCAGGCAGTCTGCCAAGGCTCGGAGCTGGGTCGGGACCCAAGCCTCACTGGGTTTCATCTCGGGCCCTCTGCACGAGCGAGTCGGCCTGGCTCAGGGCCAGCCTGTCCTTCTTCTCCTTCTGCAAGACCTGCTCCTCCCATAGCGCCTGGTCTACCTGATCGTCAGTGAGCATGACGGGCTGATACTTCTCATCGAAGAGCCGCTCATTGGCCTCCGAGTGCAGCTGATGGGGCCCGACAACGCGCAAATGTGCCGGCAGGTGAAGGAACTCTTCGTCGTTGATGTCGCAGTCGCGCATCCGAGCACTCAGCACCCACCAGCGGCCCACGAAGCCAACGTCCAGGATCCGGTCCGGGAACTCGACCCAACGGGGTTGCAGATAGCGGCAGCGGGCCTGGTAAAGGCTGGCCTGGGAGTCGTAGGGCGCCTCGTACACCAGCGAGCAAAGACCCAGGTTCACGTGGCGCAGGCGTCCGCGGCCCCGCAGCCAGAGCAGCTGCTGCACGTACGCTTCCGAGTTGCGGTTTCGCGTGGCCGGCGCCAGCAGGAGGAGTGTCCCGGACGCGTCCAGCAGCGCTTCCTCAAAGGCAGACTCGCTCGGAGCCAGCGCGCAGCAGGCCGCCGCCCCACCCAGCAACCCCACATAAACG